GCACACCCTTTTGAATGACAAAGTAGTGGACGGAAGCATCATTTGTGGAGGATTCCATACGGCTGATGATGTCAAGCAGCTCTGAATCACGCTTCTGTTCTTTCCCAATATTAAGGAAGTCGGACACTGACAAGATAGAGTTCTCCGTGGGTTCGTCAGTGTCCTCAGGATCATCGACAGGGTACCGGGAGAGGCAATCAGCGTCATGGTGTAGGTAGCCAGATTTGTAGACCACCGAATAGGAAAACTCTTGCAGGCGCAAAGCCCAGGGACCAAGGCGGCCTGATGGATCTTTCAGAGAGTTGAGCCAACAGAGTGCGTGGTGGTCGGTAACTACCGAAAATGGGCGTGCGTATAGATAAGGGCGAAATTTCGCCACCGCCCATACAAGAGCCAAGCACTCATGCTCTGTTATCATATAGTTACGTTCAGGGGTGGATAGGAGGCGGCTGGCTTATGCAATAACGCAATCATGGCCATGTTGTTTTTGAGCCAGCACTGCACCAATGCCATGCCCACTTGCATCTGTACGGATTTCCGTAGGGGCAGCAGGGTTGAAGTGTGCCAGAATCGGAGGGGTAGTGAGAAGAGCGACGAGAGTCGAGAACGCAGAAGCCTCTTCGGAGTCCCATGAAAACGGAACTTCTTTCTTGAGGAGCTGCGTAAGCGGCCTCGCTATGTGCGCAAAATTTTTCACAAAGCGTCGAAAGTAGGAGCATAGTCCGTTAAAGCTGCGTACATCCTTCGCAGATCGTGGTACAGGAAAGTTTTTGACGGCGCTGGTTTTTACCGGGTCTAGTTGTACACCTTTGGCGTCTACTAAATGGCCAAGCACTGTGATTTGATGGCGTACAAAGTGACATTTGGACACGTTGGCTGCTGGCCAGTGTGACGGAAGATTCCCAGGATGGCTGAGAGGCGGTCTATGTGAGTTTCAAATGTTGGTGAAAAGATGATGACGTCGTCCAAGTAGCACAAACAGGTGGACCATTTGAATCCTGTGAGCAGGGAGTCCATCATTCGTTCGAAGGTGGCTGGAGCGTTACAAAGGCAGAAGGGCATGACCTTGAACTGATATAGGCCATCGGAGGTGATGAATGCCGTCTTTTCACGGTCCATTTCATCTACCTTTATCTGCCAGTAGGCGGAGGGAAGGTTTATGGAGGAAAAATAGTGGGACCCATAGAGGCAATGAAACGCATCATCTATTCGTGGCAGAGGATAGACGTCTTTTTTGGTAATTTTGTTTAGGTGTCGATAATCCACGCAGAAACGCCATGCACCACCTTTCTTGCGGACTAGCACTACAGGAGAAGCCCAAGGACTGCAGGATGGCTCAATGATGTCCTTGGCGAGCATTTTGTCGACCTCACTTTGGATGATGTGACGCTGGGCCGCCGACACCCGATATGAACGCCTATGAATAGGATGCTCATTACCAGTGTTTATGCGGGGGCTCACATCGGTAGCTTTCTCCAACAGATAGCCGCCGATGTCAAAAACGTTGATGCAGGACAGCAGAACCCGGTGTAGCTCATCAGTCTGCTGCGGCGTTAAGTTGGAAGCGATCATCGAAGTAATAGCGCTGTCGGAGCAAGTGGCAGATTGATGTTGAGCGTGGGGGTCAGAAGGGGCGGCCATCGCGAAAACATCTACCCCATTGTCTTGTAAGGTGCAGAGCAACGCCAAAGAGATCCCATGTGGCAAAACTTGAGGTGTCAAGCTAAAGTTGACAACTGGGAGGCACGTAGAATTTCCTGCGACGGACAGAATGGTGTGCGGTAATGTAATGCCACGGCTTAAGAGGACATCGGTGATAGGTGTCAGAACATAGTCACAGTCGGGAACTGGTGGTATTGAGACGAGCTCTATGTAGGTCAGTGCCTGTGGAGGGAGGCGCGCGTGTCCCACTGTGCAGAGGCGACTCGGCCGTTGTGTAAGAGGTTCTGTTGCGGGCAAGTGTAGACGGAGCGTACTGGTCGAACAGTCTATGAGGGTGGAATGCGCGGACAGGAAGTCGAGGTCTAAGATTACATCGTGGGGGCATTTATCAAGGACAGTGAAAAGAACAACTGTGTGTCGATCTGCAATCACACGAGCGTAGCACATTCCAACGATAGATGCTAATCCACCATCGGCAACACGGACAAACTGAGTGGTCGCAGGTGTGAGAACCTTCTTGGTCTTGCGGCGAAAATCACTCTTCATCACGGAAAGTTGGGCGCCGGTGTCGACAATAGCGGTGACATATACGCCGTCTACTGGTACGTCTATGAGGTTCCGTTTTTGTCGATATCGTCAAAAGAGGGTTTTTGGTCAGTCCGAGCGATGCAGCGCCACCTCCGGGGGCTGCAACGCTTAGGTTTCCGTCGGGGAACCTCGTGGGAAGGCGGAGAAGATGGTCGGCGGGGCTGTCGAGAACGAGACTGGCGACGTTGGGGGATAGAGAGCAAGAGTAGCGGTGTTCAGAAGCAGGTTCCTAGGCAAAACGGTTGCGGCTGGTCTCATGGCGATAGGCAGGACGTGCATAGAAGGGACGAGAGGACGGTTGTGTAAGAGGACCCCAGCGACTTCTGCAATGGCGAGAAATGTGCCCCATTCTGTGACACGAGAAACATATCGGCTTGTCATCGTGTGTTCGCCATGCGGACGGATTACGGAACGTTGAGGGAGAGCCGGTTGGGAAGGGACGTGCAGGCATGTACCGGGCCGGTAGTCGGTGCGGGGAGGCAATGAGATAGAGTGAATTCCCAAGCTGGCGATTTCCGGCCAGACGACTCCTTGAATGAGAGGCAACGTAATTGGCGGAGAGGGCTCGGCTCGGGGACATTGGTCTCACCTTAGCTGGAGCAGCCGCTTCAAGCTCCCGCCTGACGAATCGCGTCAAGTTGTCACAGGTGTCTGGTGAATGATATGTGTCGAGACACGAGGATGTCGCAGTGGTGTTCGGGAGGCGCTGGAACTGATAGAAGATGCGTCTCCTTTTAGCTTGTAGGAACCGGCGGCATTCTTGAATGATCGCATCAACAGATGACACATTGTTGAATACCAACAAGTTGAACGCATCGTCGGCGATACCCTTTAAAATATGCGCAACTTTTTCAGGTTCAGACATATTTTCGTCAGCTTGGCGGCATAGTGAAAGGACAGCCTGAATATAACCGATGTAGGGCTCCGTGGAAGATTGTGCGCGAGTCGACAACTCATTATTCGCAGCTTCACGACGACCGGAGATGTTGCCAAAAAGCTCACGGATCTTTGCCTTGAAGCTGTCCCAGCTTGTTATGTCATTCTCGTGGTTATCAAACCACACACGAGGGGTTCCGTCGAGATAAAAAATGACGTTTGCGAGCATAAGAGTGGGATCCCACCTGTAAGTGGGCCCTGACGCATTCGTAGAGGCGTAGTCACTGGTCGACGTCGGAACCCTCGCTGCCCGAGAACACTCCGGGGTCTTTGAGCGCGAGAATCGTCACGAAAGTTGTTGCGGGCGCTGAGTTGACAGGTCGGGCAGCAGGGGGAACGACCGGAGAGGATGTATTCGAGTCAGGAGTGGTCATGTTGTAAGCCGCGAGGGAGCGTCCGCTTCGGAGTTATGTGGCGAGGACGGGGATCGCACAACTCCACCATATATGTTACGGGAAGGAGACTGACTCAGAGGGGTAGTCACCGATGTATTTACAGCCGGTTAGGCGAGCAGCGCCAGCCACACAGATTAGCTCACGCCAGTGTATCTGCTTTGTCTTCTTCAGCTCCATGCGCTGGCACGTAGCAATATACTCTTTACCAGGACACAACCAGAATTTGCGAAGGTTAGACCTTGGTAGTGCTAGATGGCACCGATTCCCTGCAGGACTCAGCTGCAATGCATGGGATGCATGCCGTTCACGATGAAATTCTTGGAGTCGTTCTGGTGATATGATACGCCATTCATGTTCGCAGTGAGGGGTACACATTGACAGACTCGCCACAAGCATGTCGGGCCTTCGTATCATGACATGGCATCCCGAGAGCAGCCCACCAAATTCTGAATTAAATTCTACTAACTGAGCCAACAGTACTCTTCACATCCACTTACTCTGGACTTCTCGTCATGCCACTCGGCCGGGGAATGGACGCGCACACGCTGTTGCCCTCGAAATTTCCCTCCCGGCGGACCGACAAAGCAAGGCGATCATTTCTGAGGGAGGTGGGGGGATTTTCTTTTCACTTACAACGACATTCTTCGTAGGAACGTCTGTCACACTCACAGCGCCCACCACCACCCTTCTCGCGAGAGGAGGCAGTGGCATTACGCCAGCTACAGAAAAAAACATTCCCCGAATTGGTATCTCTTCAAAAATTCTACCCGCAGTGCTATGAAGACTATTGCCCCTGCTGTGGAAACTCGCCCACGACCTTTTATGCCTCTATCGAGCGCACTGCGAACATCTATCCTCCCTTACCCGTTTTCCTTTACCCTTTACGTAACGAGGAGCTGAGGTGCGATGTTGTCCGTGATGGACCTCCCGAGGTTTTCCGAGCTATAATACAGTGTGCCCAACTCGTCGCTGGAGTCATCCTAGGGACCCCGGACTGGGGGTTCCTAATCAAGGTGGACGCTTTTCCTCCCACGCTTTTTTCTTCATGCCTTTACGAATAAAGACGTTTTTCCTTTCTCTTCGTTAAAGCAAAAATGTCTCTATTAGCTATACGTTGGTGGTACTGCGTTCAGCGGACTGATTTATGACAAGGTTCTAAATCAGCACGCTGATTGAGACTGATGTATTGTGTAATGGCACGTATAGAGTGATGAGGTGCATGTGTACAGTAGATTTACATTGATGCGCTTTTGCGGGAATAAACTTAGTTGCGAGTTGACGCTTTCCTTTCGCCTGCTCATTCGCGGTGATTTGCGTCATCTGAATTTCACGCAACATGCACCTACTACTCAAAAATAATTTTTTTCTGAAGATACTTTATGGCCGTAAAGGTATACGGTAGTGAGCGAGTGAGCACACCTGTGGGCAAGCGGTGCGTCCGTCGGTCGCATCCAGAGTAGCCTCCCAGGGAAGCGCTGGTTCAGGTGGCCGGAAACGCCGTCCGCCGATGGGAGGCCGGGCGTACGGTATGCCCCGATACTCCTCCACCACGGTGTGCAGAACACGCAGCTTCTTGCCACGGACGATGCCCAAGCTGGTGCGTCGTTCGGCAGTGTGCGCCACCTTCAATAGCAGCAGCAGCAGTAGCAACAGACGCATCTCCCTGAAGACAAGCCAATAGCCTCTGGTTTCCAAGTGCCTATAGCGGGAAAAAAATGCCACTGCACGAAATACATTTCTCACGGGAACGTCTTTTTAAACCACCAATGCAAAATTAAGGTAGTTCTTTGTTGTACCACTGCACTTAGTGAGCTTCATATAAAATCCTTAGGGGGAATCGTACTTAAAATTTATGGGTAATACATGTAGTGATTGTAGGTTAGAAAAATCGACAACTGTTACCACCTGGAACATCAATCGAGATGACTGATTTGGTAGATAGATTACTCGTCACATTGACTCAAACCAATCCTGTCTTTTTTTCGTCAGATCTGGGCTCTTGTTTTTATTGCTTCCTTCAAACTCGCAAAAAAACTTTTTATGCTTCTGGTGGCACAAACATGAACAGTTCGATATTCCCGGTCGCGGGACCATCGATTTGTGCAGACGGTCAACGTTTCTTGTTTTGCGAGCACGGAAAGGGGCCCTGAAACACTTTTTCAAGCAACTGTAGAATGAATTCTATAAAAGAGTTTGATTCATGTTGGATATGCGAAGTATAATGCCCCTAAACCACCATATGATTATTAGAGACGCTGTAGTGGAGGGCTCCCGAAATTTCGACCACCTGACGTTCTAACGTGTACCCAAATATGAGCACACGGGCCTACAGCATTCTCGCCTGCATCGAAAAAGCCGCCGCCGGGATTCAACCCTGTGATTTGCGGGTCAGCAGCCGAGATTGGACCACCACGAGGGGGCCACTAAAAGCGCCTATTGCCTCATGAATTCAACATCACAAACATTTTAGGAATCTGTCTAGTACGGGCCAAGTTACAGATTCATCACACGCTGAAATCGCTTTCTCCCCTCTTTCATCACGACGAAAGCACTGGAAGCCTCCCATACACTATGCAGAAACCCGTTTAGTGCCTTTACCGACTCGAACACTTCCTACTCGAAAATATTTCGCCGAGCGTTGGAGGATGCTATGTCTGCTGCTGTTCAAAGCATCAATCGTAGGCATGAAAAAGCTGACAGGCCGATAGAAATTATCTGGACGCTCGCGCATACGGGTTTTCTCGGGGGAAATACAGCGGCACAGGCCGCTGCTGCTTCCGCAGCTGGGTCGACCAATCTTTCTGTGCCCCCACCCCGCCAGGTAAACCCTTATGAGCTCTTAAGTCAAATGGCTTTCTCGGTAGCCGCAATGGGCTACGTGCGCCCGTCCTTGCTTCATGCTAGTAAAAAACGCATTGCGCGTGTTAACCCACCAGCCCTATTTTCCAGCAAATGTTCGCTTTCGTGCTCTTAAGAAGTCTACTATTAAAAAGGTCTCCGCTAATTCTGCAGAAAAATGGAGAACACAAGACATTGCGACAGTGACGTGCACTCACTGCGGGCTGCGCTGCTGCGCTGACCTTCACCATTCGCTGTGGCAGTATACCACAAGTTATCGTGAAACGGTGCTTAAGGACCTGGACACACAGTTACTATTCGTCCAATATGAAAGTCAGAGCTTCCTGATCAGAGGGATTTAGGGGGTCCGACAAAGCACAGTATTGACTCTATGACGCCTCAGTACTAGTGATGGTGAATACAATAGGTGCGAAACATGTGACACCGTGAACAAGTAGTGTAGTTAGAAAGTGCTGCTTATTTACACGGAGGTCCTCTGCCTCCGATTTTTCTTTTTTCAATGAAGGACTTTCCATACATCCATTTAACGGTACGGTAAAACATATATTGCGGAAGCCCTGACAGGAAGAACCAAAATTGTGGGATCGATTGCTTGCCCCACTCCTTTTTTTTTTTGCCTATCATGAATGCTTCACACAAGCATAGAATTTTTTTCCTTTTGAACGTATTTACGGGCATTACGCCAGAGGACCACATAGTTTGTTAAAGGAATTATGGACTGGAGAGCACGTCGGCGACGAGGTGCAGACAACCTACGGATTCGTATTGAAGCAACAACTCATAACCTTTCACGACATCACGCAGTACTACAAGCTATCAAGGGAAACCAGACCACCCCACACCCGCCACTAAACAAAGCTCAACCAATCACTTGGCCGCAGCTTCAAAGGAACTCATTCCCTTCTTTGTCCAAGGTTGCGGTCTCTGTCTTGCAAAGGGTGCACGTACATGTAAATAAGGCTGGTTATGCGTCTGTATATTTATGGGGAAGGGAATGAGTTCCTTTGAAGCTGCGGCCAAGGTTGCGGTCTCTGTCTTGCAAAGGGTGCACGTACATGTGAATAAGGCTGGTTATGTGTCTGTATATTTATGGGGAAGGGAATGAGTTCCTTTGAAGCTGCGGCCAAGGTTGCGGTCTCTGTCTTGCAAAGGGTGCACGTACATGTGAATAAGGCTGGTTATGTGTCTGTATATTTATGGGGAAGGGAATGAGTTCTTGAAGCTGCGGCCAAGGTTGCGGTCTCTGTCTTGCAAAGGGTGCACGTACATGTGAATAAGGCTGGTTATGTGTCTGTATATTTATGGGGAGGGGAATGAGTTCTTTTTGCAAGAAACCGTCAGCTGCCTTAATAAAGCTGTTTACTACTACTACTACTACTAATACTCCCAGGTTGTCCTAAAGAAATGCTGTAGTTGGCTCATGAGAACTTGACGCGAGCAAGAAAATCACAGAAGCGGTATTATGATTGGCGAAGCACGAAACTTCAGCTTGAAGTAGGAGACTGGGTCCTTATTATACTCCCTACGACGGAAAATAAGTTACTTATGCAGTGGAAATGACCTTCTAAGGTCACGGGAGAAAATGGTAGTCACGACTACTGGTTGGACTTCGGACGTGACACCAAGTTATTCCACATCAACAAGTTAAAGTGTTTCAAGGATCACAAGCGGGAGACGTTTCCACAAACAGCGTCATTCGTAGGGATGGAAGAAGAAGGGGTGATTTATCCTATAGCAGTTAGCACCACTGACCAAAGCTTTGGTACGGAGATAATTACTATGGGGGAATGGCTGGTTGAAAAGGAAGCTGCAGAGCTCCATCAGATTCTGACCAAATATAAAGATGTATTTTCCAAAATGGCAAAAGGAACAATCTGCTGGAGTCACCTGCTTAGATTTCTAACATCGGATTCGATTTGCACTCCGCAGTACCCACTTCCACTGTTGATGAAAGAAGTGGTCAAAAAAAGTTTGAGGTATGCTCAAGGTCGGAGTGATTGAGCGACCGAATTCACCATAAAATTCGCCCTTAGTACTAATCAAGAAGCCAGACAAAACTTATCGGACATACATAGACTTTCGTCGCCTCAAGGAGGTGTTGATGTCAAATGCAGAACCCATACCACGAAAGATACGATGTTCTCAGAGGTTGGGACAAAGAGATATTTGTCGAAATTCTATCTTACCAAGCGATACTGACAAGTACCACGGGAACCGGAGTCGAGGTCGATAACCACCTTTTCAACGCAGACCGGGGACCACCACTTTATCTATATGCCGTTTGGAATTAAAAATGCAACTGCGGTGTTTATGCGTTTGATGTGAACCCTCCTTCAAAGCCTAAGAAACGAAGTGCACTATATTGACGATGTTTTAATTGCTACTATGACATGGAGAGAGCACGTAAACACGTTGCAGCAACTCCTGCACAGAGAGAAGTTGAATTGACTATCAAACCCTTGAAGTGCGAAATCCGTATGACTTCCGTCGTAATTTTAGGCCATCGTTTAGGAAGAGGGACCATCTGAGCAGTGGATTGTACTATTGAGCAGATTGCCAACGCACAATTACCTCAGACAAAGAAGCAGCTTCAATTGTATTTCGGACTGAAAGGATATTACCGAAATATGACTCCCCATTATGCGTAGAGACTCAACCTCTCACCGAGCTAACTTAAAAAAGTGAGAGTAATAAGATTTGTTGGAATCCTCTAAAAGAGCTGGAATTCGAAACACTAAAGCAAGCTCTCGCTTCTGGACCAATCATAAAGGCGCGTGATCCGGAGAGTATGTTTGTACGTCGGTCGGACGCTTCCGACACCTGCATTGGTGTGATATTAATTCAGGAACATTCACGGTTTGTTACACCCTCTATCTTATGCAAGCCGCCAGCTGGTACCTCGGGAAAAATTACTCTACCATAGATAGGGAATGTTTGGCACTGGTATGGGTGGTACAGAGATTTAAGTTTTTTTGTATAAGAACTAGTTTGTTGTACAAACAGATCACCAACCTCTACAGTACGTACCCAGAGCCAAACACTCGAATTGTAGGGTTCTTAGGTGGAGCCTGGCAATGCAAGAATACTCATTTAGCATTCAGTATATAAAAGGGTCGGAGGATACCGGCGCAGTATTCATGAGTAGATTGTGAGTCAAGAAGTCGGACTTCAATGCACTGTGATATTGGTTGTTTGGCGCTTGAAGTGTGTCAGTGTATTTCTAAGTGTTCTTGTATATTTACCAAATATTGGACCTGGACACTTGAACTATAAGGAGGACATGAACAGTGTAGTGAATCACAGACTGCGCATGTGTCAGCGTTTTTTTTAAATTCAATGAAGAGAGGGCTTTTGTAATTATAGACGTGCGTGACGGTTCAAAGCGCGCGCCATTGCAAGAGTTGGGAGCAGACGACTGACGTGGCAAGAGCGCTGAGTTGAAAACCAAAAAAAGAAACGAAAGAAAACAGACCTATAGAAACAGACCATGGTAGGCACGAGAAAAAAGGAGGGTGGAGCGTGGCGGCGAAGTTACATGAGATGGACGAGGAAAACGGGGCTCGTTACTCGGCCATTGGGTTCCGGACCTGAGCCTGTTAAAAGCTGAACCCGGGCTGCCGGCTAGGTACTACCTACAACGGCCGTGCGTCGCTCATGTGCTTCGGCTTCAAGGCATTCTGTGTCCGAAAACACGCGGAGCCGTCGGGCTACGGGCACGAGTTCAGGTGGACGTGCCCGGCCAGGACGCGGCTGTGGTAGTGGTGCCTGCCTTTCAGGTACCTGCCATGTCTACCGTGTGA